CCGTCCACACCATCCGTCTGGGCCAGGCCCCTGTCCACACCACCCGTTTGATGGGCCCCGGTCCACACCATCTGTCCAATGGGCCCCCGTCCACACCATCTGTCTGGACTGGGCCCCCAACCACACCATCTGTCCGACGGGCTGGGCTCACCCACTTTTTCACACCAGATCTCACAAATTGCTGCAACCTGTGGTACAGAATGCCGAGGCCCAGAGAGGGGGGCTGACCTGCCCGAGGCCACACAGTGGGAGCTGGGGTTGGGATCTCCCACTGGCATCTATTGAAGTTCTAGAGCCAATGCTCAGTGGCTTAAAAAAGGCATTCTCACCATGAAGAAAGTGTAGCACTCCACAGTGGGAGAGGATGCTTGGAAATCATACCTCTGACAAGGATCTAGCATGTAGCACATATGAAGAACTCGTACAACCCAATAATAAAAAGATAAATAGCCCAACTCATAAATGAGCCAAGGAGTTCAACAGATATTTCCCCAAAGAAAATACAGAAATGGCCAAAAAGGACATGAGAAAGATGCTCCACACCTTGGTCATTAGGGGAGTGCAAGCCGAAACCACAGTGAGACACTGTTTCTTGCCCACCAGGCTGGTTTCGGTCAAGAGAACAGACACTAAGGGGTATTGCTGAGGGTGTGGAGACATGGGAGCCGATTCGGCGCTGGTGGGATGTAAGCCGGTGCTGCCACTGTGGAAGCCAGTTTGGTGGCTCCTCCAAAAGTTTGGCGCAGAAGGACCACACGATGCAGCAATTCTACACTCAAGAGAAGAGAGCACCCGTCCACTTGGCACTGGACACAGAGGGTCCCAGCAGCTCTGTTCACACTGGCCGAAGAGTGCATACAAACCTTGTGTCCCCCCAGGGGTGTCCCTCCCTAAAATGGCGCCCTGTTCACCCACAGGAGGAATGCCTACATCGTGGACGAACCATAAAAACATGATGCTCAGTGAGAGAAGCCACATGCTGTTGCATTCTGTGTGTATGAAATGGTTCAGGGGTGCTGGGGTGACTGCTAATGCGTGAGGAGAACATTCTGGAATTGGTGGTGATGTGGCATGTCATGAATGTACTAGAAACCACAGAATTCCACACTTCAAAATGATGAGTTTCATAAAAAATAAAGCAAGGTAAATTTAACTCAATTTAACCACGATGTACAGGCACATTACTTAAAGAAAAAGAATAAAATGCCTTGGTCGTTTTGTTACCAAAAAAAGATGGTGAGTTTTATGGTATGTGACTCAAATCTACACGAGTCATTTAATAAAGCTTGCGTCTCCTGCTGCTCAGTTTGCTGATTTGTTGCTGGAGGCCCCAGCCAGTTTTCCCTTGCTGGTCCGGGATGCGATGGCACTTGTGTATTTACCGATGGAATTCATGTTCGCATGTTCAGTTACTTTGTGTGTCTGCATACGTAGGGTTATGGCAGTCAGAATGGCAGGCACCAGGCACAGGCCCCTTCCCAACTGTGCAAATGGCCAGCTTCCCAGACGAGGGGTCTCCTGACCACTCAGAGTCTCCATGTCTGGTGAGCAGCCATCTGGAGGACACGGGAAGGCGGCCCAGGGGCTCCCACCGTGCTGCCGGAGCACAGCGAGTCCCCGCCTGGATCACCTGCCTCTCTCCCTCCCTGGACCTTGTGATCCCAGAGCCAGCGCTGGAGGACAATCCGGAAAAAGACCGTCTGTGATCTCGCCTGTGTGTCGACCCAGTCCATCAGCATCCCACTGATGCACAATATAGCCCCAACCGAGGGGGCAGCTTCACTTTCAGGATGAAAATCTTTATCTGCTCCTGTTGGCTGGAGCCCTGGGCTTTGCAGTCTCAGAGCCGAAGCTGGCTTGAGACGGGTTCATGCTCAGAGAGAAGGGTATGGTGTGAGCGCACAGCGTTTTCCTCATGGGAGATCCAAATCTGGTTTCTAAAAGAATAGCCAGGGTGGGGCCCAGAAAGCTTCCCAGGGGTGCAACCTTGGTACGGGGCTTCACCTCCTCGTGCCTCAGTGTCCCCACTTGAATGAGGGCTCATGGGCTGAGTGTTAAACAAGGTGACCAGGTCGAGTCAGATGTCTGGCAGCGAGTCAGGGGCCAGTGCAGGGGAGTGGCCATTAGCTCAACCCTGCGCTTGGGCAGGAGTGGGCGAGGGGGAAGAAGGAGCGCCAGCCCTTTTCCATCTCAGTGAGGACAATCGAGGTAGTCGGCGGGGGGAAAACCTGCCTTCCCTCTCACCCTGGGGCCACCTCCTCCAACACCTGAGACCTTGGGGGGCGACGGGCTGAGGAAGGACCCAGTCTCTGTGGAGCCGGCAAGCATGTGACTCTGCACAAGGACCCTCCACCTGTGAGGAGCCTTTCAGGTATCTGCCTGGCAGGAAGCTGAGTCCCAAAGAACAGGACGCTCGCTGTCTTTGTCCAACCTGGATGGCTCTGAAGGGCGGGTGGCCGTCAGGTGGGGCTGGAATGCTGGGGAGCCACCATCACTCAGGAGTGGCCCGAAGACTCCCGGGCCCGGCCTGGGACCCCCTCTAACCCTCCATGTGCATTTAAACTGGATGCTGTGTCCACAGTGTGTGGGCAGAGTGTCCGGGCCCACCCAGCCACCCCGGCCCATGTGGCAGGAAAAAGAGCCACTTTAAAGATGTGGGAGGGGGCAGGAGGGGGTTCCCAGAGCTGCTCACGTTCTGTGTCTAGTCCTGGAGGCGTTTATGCAGGTGGGCTCCCCTTGCAGAAATGCACGGAAGTGTGCACCTTCCAGGACAGATGAGATATGCCCACAGAAATTTACTGAAACAGTACAAGGACTTCGGTGGGGCCCAGCCTGCCTCCGCACTGCTGCGTGGCGGGGGGCACTTAGCTGCTCTCCTGAGAGTGAGCGCCACATCCTGACGCCGTTCTCCGTATTGCCTGGGGCCTGCCTCCACCACACAGAACGACCGCAGCTTGCCTGAGCTCGGCCCGCCTCCCAGGGCACCAGTCCTCCCACCAGCTGCTGGCCCCGGGCTGGGCTGGGCAGGAGGGCCGTCTCCACCTCGCACACACCCCTCCAGCTCCTGGCTGGCGCCAAGCTCCTCCCCGGCTGCTGGGACTTTCCCCTTTCACGACTGACCCCAGACAGAACCACTCAGGCCTCTGGAGGTGGAAGGGATGTCCACCGTGCGCCTGGCTCTCGAGCAGAGTTTGGCATCTGCGGCAACGTTGCAAATGGATGGTTCTAGAAGTGCAGGCAAAGCAAAAAGGCTGCAAATGAGTCTGAACAGACTTTGTTTTCTAGAATGGGGTCAAGGGGGCTCCTGCCACCCGGTTGCTTTAGAAAAAAACCACACATCTCTGCGGGCTTTCGGGCAGAGATCTGGCTGACAGAGTGGGGCTGCGTGTCGGAGTTGCAGGCACAGCTGGGAATGCCGTCCGGAGCCGGGAACGGGGGTCCAGCCGTCTGAGCGGTGAGACACAAGATCCCGGCAATCGTGGCACCAAATGCAGGCATCACCGAGATCTCCACAGGGCGCCCGCGAACACGCCATAGTGGCTGACAACTCCAGTGCACGGAAGGCACGCTATACCACCAAAGTGGGACAGACACGTGTCTTAACCTGCTTAGACTAGTAACCGACTCTGTCTTTTGTTTATAGAAAGGAATCCACGAGCCTTCACCCACCACCTGTGGGACATCAGTCATGGGGTTCTGGACGCTGGTGGCTGCATGGCCCCTTCTCTGAGAGCCCCCAGCAAGGCTGCCATGTGCCCTGGTGAGCACCTCCAGACCCAGGAGCGGGCTCCTGAGGGGAGGCCCCTCTGCACCAAGAAAGCAAAACAGAGAAACTTCTTGATCCGTTTGTCTTTCTTGACACTTCAAACCCCAGCTCCTTCCCCTCATTTTGGGCAAGTTACCAAGTCCCCTCTGTCTGGGGCCCATCAACAGACGACTGGATGAGCAAACTGCAGTGCGTCCACCCAGAGCAACAGGACTCTGATATAAACAGCAACACGACCACACGGGTGAATCTCAGGATGGTGCTGTCGAGCGCCAGAAGACAGACAGACAAAAGCACACACTGTGTGCCACCCTCACTTGTACAAAACTATAGAAAAAGCAAAGTAACCCTCAGAGACAGAGAACAGATTGCATCATCGTGGGGCAGACTGGGCAGGATGGGACCGGGGAGGACGGGCCAGTCCACGGTTTCTCTGCTTCTCAAAACTTGGGGTTGAGATACTTGGATACTACTTACGGCATGTTAATCACACCTCAGTAGAATCACTTAAAAATGGGGATGAGGAAACCATCTGCCCCCACACTCCTGGCTAAGAATCAAACGAAGACCCCCATCACAGGTACACAGCAGTTCCTGGCATACAGCCGGCGCTCAGTAACGCTCGTGTCCCTTTGCTGTGGGAGCATTGCCCAGAAGCTTCCCACCGTGCGATGGGCGCCCCCTGTGGGAGACCTCCCTGCAGGCCCCACTGGCAGGAGCAGGCCCGCCGAGGGTCTGGGGGCTGCCCACACGGGAACGGGCTCGTTTCTGCCTGAGGGGACGTTATCCAGCCTGAGTGGCCACACGCACGATGTGCTCTCAGCAGAGCGACAGTCGTCTGGCCCCTCTCTGCCGACCCTACGCCAGTGTCTCCGTGGGTTCTGTGAGCCTCAGAACTAGTCCAGGACAGAAATGGAGAGCGTCCACCTGCCGTGGAAGGACACTGGCAACTGATAAACTGGGTGGTGGGTGTGGGGGCACGGGCACATTTTATCTTAATTTTTAAACACTGAATAACATCACCAGAAATGCTGCAATAAAAACTGCAGAACCAATTGACGAGGAGCGGCCACACAGCCTGCGTGTCCTGTGGGCGTGGCCCAGCCTGGCCTCCGAGGGGTGGCAGGGGAGGCTGGAGGTGCAGGTGCTGGGGGCACCCAGGCAGAAGACAAGAGATCCCGGGGGCCCTGACGGGCAGAGGTGGAGGAGGAGCTCGATGTCTCAGGGGGATTCCAGCAGAGAGCTCAAGAACCCAGAGTCGAGGAGGCAGGTTTCCAGCCTTGGAGAAGAAGGACCTTTCCAGAAGTTCAGGCTGTGCAAACAGGAGCCAATGAGCTCCCCATCCCTGGGGGTGTGCAACCTGCAGCTGCGGACAGGCTTAGACGAGGCTGACCGAGAGGCCCTCAAAGACCCCTCCCCTTTGGTTTCTGGTCATGGGCTGGACACGCTGCGGGCACATGGAGTCGGGGCACCTCCCTCCTGCCTCTTGGGGGATTTCTATCCTACTTTCCTTTGATTAACGGGCTCTGAGAGGAGGAGGCTATAGGATGTGTTGAGCCTCGGATGACAGAAATGAAGCTTCACTAAGTCGTGGGGCTTGACTCTGACAAATCTGTGAATGCTTTTAAGAAAACACGCAGCCTGAACAACCACCAGAAGCCGGGTCCAGGGCCTCTCCAGATGCAGCCAATCAAGGGCCTTGTGTGGGTCCTGTGTTCATGAACTAACAGAGATGGGCACACGGTGCGGCCACGGCATTCCTGCAGACAGGCCCTCACCACCGGGAGGGTCTCTATCCCAGGGTGGGTCCATGCTCATCCACTGCTCAGGCATCGCTGGGACACCCCCAAGAACTGCATATAAGGGCAAAACTCCTGTGAGGGAGAAGGTGTTCCCCACACTCAGGCAGAGCAAGCCTGGTGGCAGCTCAGCATAGGGCCTGGCTCAAGGGAGGTACTCACAGGGACGGACAGACGGACAGACAGGCTATCATGGGGCCTTGAACACCAGAGTTCAAAGCACCGGGGGCAGGTGGTTCAGCCAGTATGACTTACAGTTTGTGTCTGCACTTGAGATTAAGGATATGAAGTCCTAAAGGTCTTCATAAACATCCGCACCTCTCTCTCGACAGCACAGGGCACACGCAGGCCCCCGTGCTGACCACTGAGGACCAGGTGGGGCCGCCGCTCCACTCCCGCTCCAGCTGCAGAGCTGAGGAAGGGGAGGCGGCCCGGTCCCTGTCACTACGTGAGGGTCTTGCTGGGGTGTTTCTTAATCCGGGAAAGTTCAGAGAACAGAGATTTATTTCTCCAGCCGGACCTCCTGGAGGAGACTCTCCAGAGAGGCTGGGAGTTTCCAAAAATGAACTCATTTTGCCTTTTGAAACAAACAAATGGTAGATAAAAAAAAACCTGTATGCCCAGACCAGGGGACTGAGTCAATGATGATAACATGGCCATTTCTGGCACCCTTTTAAAATTATGATGCAGACGCACCCGACGTGGAATGGGCACCCCTCCTGTGGTCCAAGCAGTGGGCTGGATTATACAAGAATCCTTTCCAGTTTCTTTCTTCTATTTTGGAAAGGTAAGCAGGCTCATGGTGACTGTGTGTGGGAAGCCTGGAGAGGGGCCTCCCAGGTGCAGGTTACCTGGGGAGATGAAGAAGGTTCTCCACAGCTTCTTGTCCCTTGTCACATCCCGGATCTCCTTGGTCATGTTGACCATCCTGCCGGCCACTGGGGGGACCCGGCGGAAGTCCAGGATCCTGGCGGGAAAGTGACAGGGAAAGGGTCTAACCTCCGTACCCTGGCCCGCTCCAGGCTGTAATGGAATGAATACCTCTCTCTCTGCGTTCTGAGGCGCGGTGCCCCACCTCCTGGATTCTGGGAACTGATCCCAGAGCCAGGCCCATGACTGCCCCTGGAGGGCACAAAGCTCTGGGTAAGCAGGGGGGGCTGCTGAGAGGCTCACCCACACGGTCACCCATCACCACCTGCCCAGCTCCCCAGCAGCAAGGGACCGTGCAGAGACCACAAAGGAATTCACATTCTGCCTGGCAGAGCTGTCCCAGAAGATGGGTGATGGGGGAGCAGGTGTGGAAACGTGTGTCCCTCGGTCTTACCATGGCCCCAGAGTTTACATCCTGAAACACTCTGCATTAAAATTCCCAGCCCTCATGCTCCTTCCCTATCTTCTTTTCCGTTATTCCCAACGGGTCACGTCCACCCTGGTCACCAGCTGCTCCGGAGGATCTCCTGTCCGGCACCATCCTAGGTGTGGGCCCACAGCAGGGAATGTCTGTCTGGGTTATAACATCACCAGGGTGAACACCACCTCTGTGCTGCAGAGGAATGGTCACCAGCATGGGCTGTGGGCTCACCATGCCTCAGTTTCCCCTCCTCTGTACAATGGGGCTAATGACAGGACCCCCTCGGCTGGGTGTGGGGGGAGGGCTCACCCACCTATGGCGCTCAGACCTAGGGTGCAGGCAGGAGGACTCACCTGTCCAGGTGGAAGGCAGCGATCTCTGCGTTGTGCCTCTCATAGTCAGAGAAATAAAAGAAGTCAGGGGGTGTCTCCTGCTCCCTCGTTTGCCTACGGAAAAGGGGATGAAACAAAGGGTTTATCACTGTCAAAACCCTCCGGTGAAAGGGTGCTGGTGGGTTGTACTGGCCGGCAAAAACAGGCTGTCAAACTTCCAAGACTGTTGTGAGCCGGTTGTTAAAGTCATCCTTGAAAATCAGCTTATATAAACACACAACTACGTAAGTTACATTTAAAAAGCAATAAACATTTAAACCTCATCACTTCCCGCTTATTTTATGATATCCTACTGTTTGCTCCTGAGGCTGCTGACACCTCTTGCCTCTGCAGGTGCAAACCATATCAAGAGGTGATGCGTGTCCCCAACGCCACCTTTACTGACCTCATGCTGGGAGCTTGAAGTCAGCCAGTGAGGAAGTATTTGCACCACAGGATGGGCAAACTCTTCCAGTCAGGCTCTTCCCTCACAGAGGAGCTGGCTACTAAACACTGATCAGCCCACCACCAACCAGGTCCATAACACCAGCCAAACAGGTTTTCCAGAAGGGCGGATGGCAAAAGGCCGCCCCTCGCCCGAGCCCCGGGAATGTGGATGACGGGGGGGCCGAGGGCAGCAATCAGCCCACCCAGAACGAGATGACTTCCCTGGGGCATGAGCTGGGGACCAAGTTCAGGCTACACAACTGTCCCTCAGCCTGCTCTCCGCCATCTACAGTCCACCTGCCCAGAGTCCCCCTGCAAGATGCGAGAGAATCTGGGACGCTTTCTTGGGGTCACCGGTGGGACACGCTTCTGAAGCCTACAGGAGGTGATCCATTTTCCAGTGTCCATCAGGGCATCCGCCAGTTAGGACTGCCCACACCCAACCCAGGACTACTGCCACCAGAGACCTCCTGCCCCTCTTCTGCTCCGCCCTCCTCTCTCTCTCACCCCTGCCGCCTCCACCAGACCTCTCCTAGACCCAGCACCCAGGACACTTCCACCTCTGCACCTTTGCCTGTGCTGCACTCTCCACCTGTACTTGCCTCCTCCATCCTTCCCAAGATTGGCCTCAGCCCCCATGGGCTTCCCCTGGCAACCTGGCAGGACTTCCTTGGCATTGGCCTTCTGCTGAGGAACTTGGTACTGCTACATTAGACCACTGTTTGCAGGGCCTGGGGGCAGGAGTGTTGAGCCAAGTGCCTGCTTTAGAACAGGTGTTCAATAAACAAATGAACTGATGGAGGAAGGACAGGGTATGGGTGCAAATCGGTCTGCAGCCTTGAGCTCTTCCCACCCTCATTTCTTCGATTTCTACCATCATCACCATCATCTCCATCACCTCCCTCACCATCATCAGCACCACCTCCACCATCATCATCATCACCACCATCATCACCGTCACCACTATCACCACCATCACCATCATCACCATCACCACCATCATCACCATCATCACCACCACCACCACCATCACCATCATCACCATCACCACCACCACCATCACCATCATCATCATCACCATCACCACCATCATCACCATCATCACCACCACCACCATCATCATCATCACCATCATCACCATCACCACCACCACCATCACCATCATCATCATCACCATCACCACCATCATCACCATCATCACCACCACCACCATCATCATCATCACCACCATCATCACCATCACCACTATCACCATCACCATCATCACCATCATCATCATCATCACCATCATCACCACCACCACCACCATCACCATCACCACCATCATCACCATCATCACCATCACCACCATCACCATCATCACCGTCACCATCATCACCACCACCATCATCACCACCATCACCACCACCATCACCATCATCACCATCACCATCATCACCTCCACCATCACCATCAACACCATAATCATCACCACCTCCACCATCATCATCATCACCACCATTATCACCATGTGCATTGGCTTTATCTGTGATGTTACCTAGTGAGATTTTCTATTTGCCAACTCTTTGGCCTTTGTTCCCTTCTCCCTCACTCTAGCCCACTCCTCTGATCAGGTCACACACCTGGAAAGCAGGTGGCTCTGAGCCCTGCTACTCCGGGAAGAGTCAAAACGCTTCCCAGAAGCTCTGTGACTCGGTTCCAGAACAGTTCCTGGTTCCCTCACATCTCCCACCTCAGGGCTTTCCAGTGACCTCTGTCCTCTAGCTGTTCACACAATAGGGCAGCTCTTTCCTCCACCCCGAGGCCATATACAGGCCTTCTGCTTGGCTGTCTCAGCTTCCAAATGCCCCTCCTCAGAGTGACCCCGGAAGTGCAGAGAAGTGGTGATGAGGTGCTTTTTGTCTGTGTGCTCAGTGACTGCCTTCACTCCTGAGAGGCTCCGAGGTGCTCCTGGGACCTCTGTGTTCTTTGGGCAGTCCTCAAGATGTGTGACATGCCTGTGAGTGGTTTCAAGGCTCCTATAGGCTGTGAACAACTTGGGGAAGGGGCCCCACTTAACCTGTCCTGATAAGGGTGGAGCTGGGAACTCAGGCAACACCCAAAGGGGAGGGGGTCATGTGGGTGGGAAGGTGGGCTCCAGTGTGGGCCTCCCCACTCATTTGTTTTAGACAGAGTGCCTGTGGGCTGGAGTGAAGGTGCCTAGGTCAGCACTGTGCAGACCTGCCTCCCCAAGGCCAGTGGGCAGGGCTGAGTGAGTGTGTTAGACCTCTGGACCCTCAGCTTCCCCAGCTGTAGGACGGGGATAGTTCTGTGCTCTGGGTGTGGCCGGCTGACCCCAGCTCCTGTCATCAGAGTGGTCAGGACGACTCACACACACAAGTGGGGAGCTCGAAGTAGGCCCAGGGCTAACCGGTAAGGGTGCTCAGGAAGGACGAGGCTGGCTCCCTGCTGAAGGTCTGTGCCCAAATCAACAAGGGAACAAGGGTAGTGGAAATCTTCCAGCTGTGCACCACCAGTGACAGAGGGAGTAGTGCAGGGTCCACCTGGCCGGTCACCCACCTGCATGGTCTGGTGACACGACACGAACCATTAGCTTATCTCCTGCAGGATGTCCTGACCAGCCAATCCACACCTGAGAGGAGCATTCAGGGGGTCTGAGAGCTGGGGGTACTCACTGCAGGGGGTATGTGGGCTCTTCTCAGGGCTGGGCCGCAGAGCAGGGGACAACATGGGGGTGTCTGTGTGGGGAGCAGGGCAGCGCAGGGGGGACTGGGAGGAGATGGGACATGGTTGGTCCCTTCTGTGGGGAGGTCGGCTTGCTTCCTGCCACATCCTGGGTGGCGCTGGAGAGCAGAAGGTGCTGCTGCTGACCCAGCCGTTTGAGGAAAACACTCTGGAAAACTACTGAGCTCACTGCACCCAGCGGGAGACTGAACTCAGTTGAACCCAGTCACCTGGCAGCCTCCCCTTCCTCCAGGTGTCGTGGAGGAAGCTGGGCCCAGCTGTGGAGGGCAGGTGAAGGGCGTGGCCTGCCCGGAGCTCTGGGCTTCTTCCTGGGGTGTGGGGCCTGGAAATGTGGAAAGAAGATGCTATCAGACACTCTGGGGTTGGCTCGGCACCCAGAGCCTGTGCCTGCCCTGATGAGGGGTGGGGAGACCGGGTGGCTGGGGACGAGTGTTTCCTGGAACACCGTGTACCTGGGAGCACAGCGCCAGCGAGTCGAGGTCCTCTCCCGGGGACTGAGGGGGCCGGGGGCCGGGTGGCAGCCCCTCCCAGGGGCACAGGGACAGGAGGAGCCTCCTAGTCTGGCCACACACCCCCGGGGTCACTGCCCCCACACAGGGAGCATTCAGAGCCTGGGAGCCCCACCCCAATGGCCTCTGAGGTCTGAGCGAGCCCCACCGGGCCTTGGGAAGGCCTGAGCAGCAGGGAAATGGAAAAGTGTGCGCTCACTCTCCTCAGAAAACAGCAGCTGAGGAATCAGGCACAAACCACAGGCAAGGACACGGTTTCAGGGAAAGGCTTTGGCAGCAGCGACTGAGGGTCAGAGCAGGAAGACAGGCAGAGAGCCTGGTGGATTCGGGAGGCCTGGATCCCGGGGAAGGTTTTGGTCCTGCTCTCTAGGAAGGCCCCCAAACCTCACAGACAACCGCACTGGGCCCCCCAGGCCGAGAGAAAGCAGGCAGTGGAGGGCAGCCCCAGGGGTACACGGAGCACCCCAACACCCTTAAGCCCAGGCCTGCTAAACCCTGGCAAGGGGCTGCTCAGGACCAGCTCTTGGGGCCTCCCTCACTTCCACATTCCCTCTCTCCCTCCTCCCCAGAGCTGACCACACCCAAACCCTCTTCCTTTAGAGTGACTTCGCTTTGCTGGGAAATAAGCACAATAAGGGCCGATGATGCATTTTTATACTTAAGTGAGAATGACTACCGTGTTGAACTCTCGTAGGAAATCTATGGTCTGAATTTCCTTAAAGGGCAAAAGGAACTTTGCAGATGTGATTAAGTCAGGGATCTTGAGATGGGGAAATTATCCTGTATCGTCTGGGGTGGGCGGTAACGTCATCCCAATGGTCCTTATAAAAAGGAAGCAGAGGGAGATCTAACGACTGAAGAGCCACAGTCGTGGCTTCGAAGAGAGAGGTTCTGGGAGACAATCTGTTTCCTCACTTCCTCCAGCTTCTAGAGGCTGGCTGCCTTCCTCTGCAAGGAAGTACCTGGTCTCCCAGAGCCTCCAGAAGGGACACAGCCTGCAGGTCCCTTTTAGATTGCTGACCTCCAAAACTGCAAAATATGTTCATGTTGCTTTACGCCACTAACGTTGTGGTGGTCTGCCGCGGCAGCACAGGGAACTCGTCTAGAACCTTTGGCAACTCCAAAGCAGCAGGGAGGACACGGTGATTTAGCAACCTTGGAACGGTTATGAAATCCGGTCTATTTCCACAGATCTGGTCATGCCATCACTGCTACATTTATGAGACTTCGAAGAACTGACACGGAACATTTTGAGAGAAGGTTTTCGCAGAAGCCAAAGAGAGGCAGAACCCAGTAAGTACCATGGGAGTCCCTCCAGGCTCCGATCCGTGTCCCCATTTTAGTGACAAGGAAGTCTGAGGTCGGCAAAGGGGA